CTTACCTGACCTTTTCAGGAATGAAACAGATTTTAATCCTTGCTGGATCCAGGATCCCAGGAATTAGAAGGGACTCAGGCGTTGTACATACAACCCCCCTCCCCACAACTCACAACAATATTGTTTGTCTTTATGTTTATGTCCAATCCACTCCGATCTCATCACCATAGGATCCAACGCCTAGAGGTTGAGGTCCCTTTGGCGCACCCCCCCTTAAATATTTGAGGGGGCTGCTTCCCCAAAGTTGATGGGCATTGTCATTCAAATGCTGTGCATCTGCCACGTCTTGTGATCTATTACACGGGACAGGGTTTACTTGCCCCCCTTCCCAATATTTTTTCCAGGTTGGCAACCTTGCTCATCATGATGCAGAAGCTGTTGTGGAAAAGGCCTTGGTCCAGTTTCACATGCAGGTCTCAGGTTTGGGCTGGGAATGTCTATATGAAATTCTGGAGATCTGCTGTCAATGCAGCTAAATGCTCTGCTAGTTGGACCAGCGATCTGTTCCACTATAAGTAAGAGTCTTATGTGCCAAAACCTTATGAGGTTTCAGAGCTGAATTAGTTTTTTAGTCTCTGCCAGGCAGATTTTGGTTCCTTCCCCCATTGTTTTAATGCTTCAATGGTTCTTTATCTTTTAAGTTACAAAAGGTGATTGTACTGGGAACTCCTTTGTCAAAACTTCTTTCTCTCCCTAGGTCAGCAGGGAGCCACTGCCACTTGGCCAGTTTTACAGATTAAACATTCCTGCATTGGTAACGATGGAAGCATCTGCAAATCTTTGGATCCAATTTTCCAACCGCTCCAAATGTCACAGCGCATTCTTCCTCGCGCACTGAGAATCATCTCCCCGTTTCTTCATGCGCCAGTTGAATTGGAGATTTCACATCCTCTGGGAACGAGAAATGTTGTTTCCGACTTCAGAAGGCCCTCTTGCCTTTTATGCCGCAGTCTAGAAAAGCTGATAGAAATTCACTTTCTTTCATAGCATGCCAACGTACTCCATCTACCTTAGTGGAAGGCAAAAGCGTGTGAGCAAAAATGGTAATCTATCAGTTGAAGATATATTGCGGTTCTATCTATTCCTGCGTTCGTGAAACCCAGAGGTGGCCCTTGTGGCACCCTATCTAGATCAGTGTCTCCCAAACTTGGGTCTCCAGCTGTTTTGGACTACAACTCCCATCATCCCTAGCTAGCAGGATCAGTGGTCAGGGATGATGGGAACTGTAGTCCAAAAACAGCTGGAGACCTGTTTGGGAAACACTGTTCTAGATGCTGTTTAATTCTCAGCTTCCATCATCCCTATTAGCCATGCTGGCCGGGCTAATAGGATCTGGTTAATACCATGTTGGCTTTCCCTGATCTAACCATTATACTGCCTGCCTTTCTCTAAATATCTAGTAGCTAGGGGCAGCTACCCTGGAATTACATGACAGCAAGAAAGCAGTTTAGTTTATATTCACCCCTGTTAAAAGTCATACTAGAGACTCAGCTACATTAGTTTAAAAAAAAACCCCCAGCATATTGAATGCATTATAAGCATGCAACACCAGGAGGCGCTGTAGAGCAGAAAACTTTTCTATGAGGTTTTACATAGCGTTTATTTTTCCCTTTTTGTTATAGTGATGTAATTTCTGACTTATTTATAGTGGCTTTCCCCCTGTGTGTAGATCCACCCCGGACTGCCTCTGAATTAGAGTTGTGTTGGCCTAGCTAGCCCATCCCTTGATCCATGAGAAGGTTGAGCAATCCTCCTTTTAAAACAAATCTGATGTTTTAACCTAATGCTCCTAGTGAGGAAGTCTGGTGATACATTTGGACATTTCTGTGGTGCAATTGCGTTCTCCCCATGAGGATGAGCTGTAGCACAGACTTTGAGCAGAGAAGTGAAGAACAGAGACAGAGCCTTGTAAGCACTGACTCTAGCATGCCTGTCAGGGAACTGCCATCAGCTCAGAGGCGAGGAATAGAAGGGCAGTTGTGTTACAGGGAGCCTCCTAAAATCTTGGGAAGCAGTTCCTCTCCCGGGGAGGAGGAAAGCCCCACCTCTAGTGGGGAAGAGGTGCAAGGACCAGAGGATGCTGGTGGGAGCCTTAACACCGCTCCTGGGCAAGCCGGACAGGAGGGAAACACGCCCTTGCCATCGCCCGTCCTGCGCAGTAGCCTAAGGCGCAAAAAGGGAAGGAGAAGGTTGGGAGTAATGAAACTCTTATGTTGGAGGAGGTCCAAAAATAGACCACTCCCGGATTCTGCTAGTGATTGAGCCAGACATGAGCTTTGGAGCTCTTCACTGTAAATAGTTTGCACCAAAATAAAACCTGTAAAACACAGGTTTGGAGTCCTGCCTGGTTACTCTCAAGCAACCGCAACAGCCATCTGACAATGCCCAATAATTTTGCATTTTTACAAGTTTTGTGTGTTTGAGAGAGAGAGAGCAAGTATTAGAACGATTCCTGGATTAGCCAACCTGTAACATATCCTTTCAAAAGGGACGTGGGTGGCGCTGTGGGTAAAACCTCAGCGCCTAGGACTTGCCGATCGCATGGTCGGTGGTTCGAATCCCCGCGGCGGGGTGCGCTCCTGTTGCACGGTCCCAGCGCCTGCCAACCTAGCAGTTCGAAAGCACCCCCGGGTGCAAGTAGATAAATAGGGACCGCTTACTAGCGGGAAGGTAAATGGCGTTTCCGTGTGCTGCGCTGGCTCGCCAGAGCAGCTTCGTCACGCTGGCCACGTGACCCGGAAGTGTCTTCGGACAGCGCTGGCTCCCGGCCTCTAGAGTGAGATGAGCGCACAACCCTAGAGTCTGTCAAGACTGGCCCGTACCGGCAGGGGTACCTTTACCTTTTAACATATCCTTTCATAGTTAACATCTTTCATTTTAATACTCAAAATAATTAAGAGGTGGCATACGAGAAGATTTAGAGGGTTCTACGAGATTAAGATCAACAATCTCAAAGAGGTGATTTTAAAAAGATGGCTGAAGTGTAGGAACATTTTGAAGGTATTGTTTTCTGCAGAATAATACTCTCAAAGATCCAATGCCAACTTAATTGCTTTCCTTTGGGTTTTCCTTCCTGATATAATCGTACTTGAACTGTTATGAAGCCATCCACTGCACATCAAAAAGATGTGTGCTTCTAGGGATTAATATTGGTTACCTTCGGTTCTGCTCAGATCAACCTTTCAGTTTGGATTCCTCAGAACTGCGGCAGGCCACACACTACCAACAATTTGATAACTTCACGTGAACCATTTACCTTAATGATACAGGGGCACTTCCAGGCTGTCGCTATTTGCGGCTGAGATTCAATCACATCCTGCCAAATTCAGGCTGTGAAATCATAGTAGATTGGGAAGTCTTGCGCAGCAAACCTGCTTCCTCAAAAGAGCAGACTCGAGAAACAATGGAGTGCATCTCTGGAGATAAAGTCAAACAGCTGTGTTAGCAGTGACCTCCCTTGGGCGCAAGCCTGGGCATTGTGTATGGAGGTCCTGGACTGCCCAGACGAGAAGACCCCCTTTTGGCCTCATTGATGTGGTCCAAAGAAAAGCAGAACAACATGTTTGGCACCAGTGCGGCTGGAGTTGCTGGTAGGAGATCTACAAGATGCCACCCAACTGCCTTAGGGACTCCTCTCTGGATTTGTGCAGGGTTTACTCTTTAGCCTTTTCTTCTCCCAAAGATGTCCCACGAGGTAGCAGAGGTTTAGGGTCAGAGTTATGTGGAACAACCGATTGGTTCAAAATTGGGAAAGGAGTACAACAAGGCTGTATATTGTCTCTCCCTGCTTATTTAACTCATATGCAGAACTCATCATGCGAAAGACAGGACTGGATGAATCCCATGCCGGAATTAAGATTGCTGGAAGAAATATCAACAACCTCAGATATGCAGATGACACAACCTTGATGGCAGAAAGTGAGGAGGAATTAAAGAACCTCTTAATGAGGGTGAAAGAGGAGAGTGCAAAATATGGTCTGAAGCTCAACATCAACAAAACTTAAGATCATGGCCACTGGTCCCATCACCTCCTGGCAAATAGAAGGGGAAGAAATGGAGGCAGTGAGAGATTTTACTTTCTTGGGCTCCATGATCACTGCAGATGGTGACAGCAGCCACGAAATTAAAAGACGCCTGCTTCTTGGGAGAAAAGCAATGACAAAGCTAGACAGCATCTTAAAAAGCAGAGACATCACCTTGCCGACAAAGGTCTATATAGTTAAAGCTATGGTTTCCCCAGTAGTGATGTATGGAAGTGAGAGCTGGACCATAAAGAAGGCTGATCGCCGAGGAATTGATGCTTTTGAATTCTGGTGCTGGAGGAGACTCTTGAGAGTCCCATGGACTGCAAGAAGATCAAACCTATCCCTTCTTAAGGAAATCAGCCCTGAGTGCTCACTGGAAGGACAGATCCTGAAGCTGAGGCTCCAATACTTTGGCCACCTCATGAGAAGAGAAGACTCCCTGGGAAAGACCCTGATGTTGGGAAAGATGGAGGGCACTAGGAGAAGGGGACGACAGAGGACAAGATGGTTGGACAGTGTTCTCGAAGCTACTAACATGAGTTTGACCAAACTGCAGGAGGCAGTGGAAGACAGGAGTGCCTGGCGTGCTCTGGTCCATGGGGTCACGAAGAGTCGGACACGACTAAACAACTAAACAACAAGAAGAAGATGGGCTACCTTCCCAGGTTGATGAACCTTCACTTCCCTCTACGGCACGTGTAGAAGCTGCCTTCTTGACCGTTAGACCTACTATTAGTCTTGTCTGCTCAATTCTCCGGAGCCTGTCTTTGAATGCAGGGGAAGGTCCTTAACTCACCGAGGGTTTGAGACCCATCAGCTACCCACTCCTGGTTTGGCCGGCCAGTCGAAGCCGTTTCCCAGGGTGTAGCCGGTGTCACATGCTGACAGCTTCTAGGAGCCACAGGTGAGATCTGAGTGCAGGGTGGGGACCAAAGGTGGACAAACTACCCCAGAAGATGATTGATTGATTGATTGATTGATTTGATTTATTACGGCCATTGGCCCATATCTAAAACAATACATCAAAATTTATCCATAAACAAACAATTTAAACAGTTCCAAGTTAAAACACCCATATAACACCAATTTTACTTCAATTAAGTAAACACTATATACAATAAGCTCCCTCTATGTCAACCGCAATTTAAATCCCTCGGATTTTGGGGGATATGCGTCTTAGTTCTGGCACTTATTGATGGTTCTTAAGAAGATGCAATATGTGTTGTCCCACCAGAGATGCTATCCTTCCTCTAACATCCCGTGCAATGTAGGGCCTGTGATATGTCTGTAGTCAGCAACAGGTCACCCCCCCCCCACCAGCGATTAAAGCCATGGGAATGTTCATGACACCATCCCCTTCACTGCAAAAAGCAAAAATTTCCATTGCAATTACAGCAGCTGAAAAGTCGGCATTTATATCCTAGCAACAAACCGGCAGCCCCAATGGAACTGGAAACCTCCATAATGTTCTCCAACCTGCTTCTGTTGAACCTTTAATTGAAGAAGAAGAAGAAGAAGAAGAAGAAGAAGAAGAAGAAGAAGAAGAAGAAGAAGAAGAAGAATCTTTATCTGCATCAGCCACTAGCCATAACAATAAAATAAAATAAAATGTACTGAAGAAAGCAGTAAAAACTAAACTACATTTGGGGGTTTTACATCAATAATCAAATAATAGATCTTAGAATAAAGGTTTTGCTGTCATCGAATCATCTTGATTTGCTAAAAGAAAGGACACAGAAGCAATGGTTGAGCAACCCGGCATGGACAGTAATAGAGGGATCATAACCTCGCTCCTCAAATCTTTATAAAGAGTGCAAGCCAGAAACACATGAGCCACTGACTCAATACTGCCATCTTCACATGGACATACGGTAACTGTTTTTCCAGTGGATTTTTTTGAAATCGACCCTCAAGTCCTGCGGAAGGCAGCATATTCAATCTTGCGAAAGTGAAAGAGTGTCTGTATTTCGGATTATTCTGCTGCTCGATATCATATAGGTGCTGTCTAAGTACAGTGGTAAAAGGTAAAGGTAAAGGGACCCCTGACCATTAGGTCCAGTCGTGGCCGACTCTGGGGTTGTGGCGCTCATCTCGCTTTATTGGCTGAGGGAGCCGGCGTACAGCTTCCGGGTCATGTGGCCAGCATAACTAAGCTGCTTCTGGCGAACCAGAGCAGCGCACGGAAACGCCGTTTACCTTCCCGCTGGAGCGGTACCTATTTATCTACTTTCACTTTGACGTGCTTTCGAACTGCTAGGTTGGCAGGAGCAGGGACCGAGCAACGGGAGCTCACCCCGTCGTGGGGATTCGAACTGCCGACCTTCTGATCAGCAAGTCCTAGGCTCTGTGGTTTAACCCACAGCGCCACCCGCGTCCCTATATGTACAGTGGTACCTCGGGTTAAGTACTTAATTCATTCCGGAGGTCCGTTCTTAACCTGAAACTGTTCTTAACCTGAAGCACCACTTCAGCTAATGGGGCCTCCTGCTGCTGCCACGCCGCTGGAACACAATTTCTGTTCTCATCCTGAAGCAAAGTTCTTAACCCGAGGTACTATTTCTGGGTTAGAGGAGTCTGTAACCTGAAGCAGTTGTAACCTGAAGCATATGTAACCCGAGGTACCACTGTAAATTATTTGCTTTACTGAAGCCCAGTGTTAGTAACTGTTGTGGTGACAAATCAGAAAAGTAAAGCTTTTGGTTGACAATTTTAGTTCAAGCGCTCTCATGACAATCTTGCGATACTAAGGGTAGTAGGCCAGTGGGGTTTAAATTTAGGTGAAGCCAGTAATTAAATGTCCTACGCCAAATCTGTAATTCAACAGAGGGGAGGTTAGCCTCTAAGCGCAATGAAGCCTTTAATTGGCTGTGACCACCTGTCAGCACTTCTCTTATCATCGTTAAATCTGAGCATGGGAGAGAGATTTCCCCACGCAATTCGGACACAAAACCGGTCATGCTTGTAGGCACAAGGTGAGAAATGCAGACAAAAATGTAATCTCTCTAAGGCACGAGGGTAGCAGAGTCAAAAGTTCACTTCTGATATTGTTCGGCACATGGTAGGAGAGCATACAGCCAAACCAAACTGAACCGAAGCCACCAGCCGTCATCTGTGTTGACTTGCCATGTCACAGGTAGGCAGCAGATGGGCGTAGCCAGGATTTATGGCGGGGGCAGGACAAACACCTGTCCTGTTCCAGAACCGAGCTACCTGCCATGTGATAGGTCAGTTTGCAGAAGCCACGCCTATCACTCAATTGGGTTGTCAGTTGCATCACTAGAATGCGCCACAACATCGTCCAAGTGACCTCAGCAAGCATTTCAGTTTCAAATATTCTGATTATTTCTACTTTTCGTTAAGTATTTTTATTTATTTACCTGATTCGGGGAGGGGGGGACACAGCTGCCCCGCCCCGCCTACACCCATAAGGCAGCATAAATGGAAAATCTATCATATTTGGTTGGTCAGCTGTGTTTGATTTGACTGGTCACATCTGTAGTGAAAACTGCATTCACTCACAAGCAAACAGCCCATTGCACAGACATCTTTTCACGACTGACAGCAATCTGAAATTGGTTAAGTGTTAACTATCAATGTTGCTGAGCCATGGTGATGGCAGAGTTTGCATCTTTCGCTCCGTTCAGCCTAGCCCTGCCAAGAGCATTCAGACAAAAAGCTATTAAGGACACCGCCTGCATGTTTTGGGTGCGCCTTCTGACAAAGACTGGCCCTTCCTATAAGGAAATATTAAACCCTTAGGATTAACGACGGCCACAAAAGAAGCCTCTCAAAATACTTAAAAGGCTGGATTCCACAGCCCAGTGTTATGCACAATAGAAACACTGCCAACAGCAAAGGGTATATTGGAGTTTTATAAAAACTGTAAGAAACTTTACTTCCCAAGAGAACAATTCTATGCACGAGAAGCTGGCATAGAGGAAGCCACTGTAAGTTACGCCAGTGTAAAGTACACCATGTGCTGCTCTGCTTGGGGAGGGGGGGTTACAGGTTATTGTACCCCTGTAATGCCCTTGTGAGTGGACTATGATTACATCTCCTGTTTCCTTGACAGATTATGGCAAGCAATAGACTGCATTCTGGAGGAAGAAGGAAACTAGACAGTGGATGCTTGGCAACTGCTGGGCGTCCGCCATGGCTGTTCTTTATTGCGGCCAGCAACTTCCAGTTTTTCCTCTGCCTGAGAAGAGACAGAGGTAACTAGGATGCACTATGTGGTCTTCAGTTTGCAGGGGAACAGCTTTGCCCTGCTACATTTAGCACGACAAAAAACAAAAACAGTCTGACCCAAATGCTATTTGTATCCGCAGGGGCTTTCAATTAATGCAGACGTTGTGTACTGTGCAAGTTGCACAAAGAGCTTTCTGCAAGGAAACCAGTGATACAAGACCAACTATAATTCATGGTAGGTCTGTTTTGATTTTGGGCACCGGGTGGTGCTGTTGTGTTATTACCTTGTAAGCAGCACTACAGCGACACCTACTGATGGAGAACATGCATTACAAAGCAGCTGTCACGTACCGATCAGAAGCAACTCACACCCAATACAGAAAGGATTTGTTTGAAAAAAGTATGTATTCTTGCTCATGCACATTTGAATTGCTTCAAGCATTACTGTATCATTACTGAACAAAACTGTGCAATCTTCTACAGTGGTACCTCAGGTTACAGATGCTTCAGGTTACACGATTTTGGGTTGCGCACCACACCAAACCCGGAAGTACCGGAACGGGTTACTTCCAGGTTTTGGTGCTTGCACATGCGCAGACACTAGATTGCGCTTTGCGCATAAGCGACGAATCGCGACCCACACATGCGCAGATGTGACATTGTGGGTTGCGAATGGTGCAGGTTGCGAACGTGCCTCCTGCACGGAACATGTTCGCAACCTGAGGTTCCACTGTATTTGCTTTGAAACTCCCTGCCCCTTTCTATTCTAGTCCTCATTCCCTATATACCGGTAAAAGCATTCTGCTCCAAAAGTAACAAATACACATTTTTTCACTATATTGGGTGATTGTAAATTCATAAATTGGGTGTATCATTACCTACAAGTAACACTTTAGGCCAAGGTACTTGCCAGATATTGTAAGGATCCATGTTAAGTGCTCAGATGATTGCTGAAATATGCAGATTCCTATGAAAATCATTGGCTGCAAAGTCGAGATGTGCAATTATGTACGTGTTGGAAAGCAGCCAAAATCATGGGGTTTCTTTGACCTTTCTTTATAATCCCCAGGTGTTGATGGTTGCAGCGGCTCTAGGGTGATGCTAGGAAGCAGTGTAGTTACCGTATTTTTCGCTCCATAAGGCGCACCTGATCATAAGGCGCACCTAGTTTCTAGAGGGGGAATTAAAAAAAAAAAAATTATTTAAAGGGAGTGCTGCTCTTTAAAGGGTGCGTGGCTCCCGTGGGCTTTTCTACGAGGTGGGAGAAGAGACTGATGCGGCCAGTCAGTCCCTTCTCCCTCCCTTCAAGAGCCAGTGTGGTGTAGTGGTTAAGAGCAGTGGACTCGTTCTGGTGAACCGGGTTCGCTTCCCTGCTCCTCCACATGCAGCTGCTGGGTGACCTTGGGCTAGTCACACTTCTCTGAAGTCTCTCAGCCCCACTCACCTCACAGAGTGTTTGTTGTGAGGGAGGAAGGGAAAGGAGATTGTTAGCCGCTTTGAGACTCCTTCGGGTAGTGATAAAGCGGGATATCAAATCCAAATTATTCTTCTTCTCCTGGGAGCTAGTGTGCGGCTCTTGGGGGCTTTTCCCGCCTGCCTCCCCCCTGCATTCGCTCCATAAGATGCACACACATTTCCCCTTGCTTTTTAGGAGGGAAAAAGTGCGTCTTATGGAGCGAAAAATACGGTAAATAGCAATTAATCCCAAAGTAGGTTTGTGGAACCAAAAGACAACATTCAAATATAAACATTACCAATTAAGTTATTTGGAGAAATATCAGGGGCGTGATAGCTCTCTGGGGCCCTTTCCTGCTCCGAGATCAGTACGGCTGCTCTCAAGTTATTTTAGGATCCGTTTGATAAAAACGATTCTGCCATGAGTTGCGTTGCCATATTTTGCAAAGCAGAAAAGAGGCAACAAGGGCCGATTTCTACTTTTAACTGTGGATGGCTATGACGACTCTCATTTTACATACCCATGCAAACGAGGACGTGTCTTGAAAAAAGAGTTTCTAATCTACTTCTACCACACAGATACCGTATTTTTCGCCCTATAGGACGCACTTTTTCCCCTCCAAAAATGAAGGGGAAATGTGTGTGCCCTATGGGGCGAATGCAGGCTTTTGCTGAAGCCTGGAGAGCGAGGGGGGTCGGTGCGTACCGACCCCTCTCGCTCTCCAGGCTGCAGGAAGCTACCCGCTAGCCGGCACCCAGAAACTTGGGGCGCGCTGAGCTCAGCACGCCCCAAGCTTCGGGCTTCGCGCAGCCCTCCGCTAGCCGTGGGAGAGCTGCGCGACTTCGTG